AGCCTGTTCCAATGCCTGATCACTCTTTCAGTGAAGAAATTTTTTCTAATATCCAGCCTAAACCTCCCCTGGCGCAACTTGAGGCCGTTTCCTCTTGTCCCATCACTTGTTACTTTAGAGCAGAGCCCAGCACCCACCTCACTACAACCTCCTTTCAGGCAGCTGTAGAGAGTGATGAGTCTCCTCTCAGCCTCCTCTTCTCCAGACTGAACCCCCCCAGCTCCCTCAGCTGCTCCTCGTCAGACCTGTGCTCCAGACCCTTCCCCAGCTGCGTTGCCCTTCTCTGGACCTGCTCCAGCCCCTCAATGTCCTTCTTGTGGTGAGGGGCCCAAAACTGACCCCAGGATTCAAGGTGCGGCCTCACCAGTGCCGAGTCCAGGGGCACACTCCCTGCCCTAGTCCTGCTGGCCACACTGTTGCTGATGCAGGCCAGGATGTTTAACAAAACAGGTTCGAGTGCAGATCTCTACCACACTCCACTTGTCCCAGGTCTCTGGGTACAGTATGTGCCATTTACCACTGCCCTAAGGCTCCAATCATCTAACCAGCATTTTCCCCATATAGTTTTCCACTCATCCAGACTGTGATGGCTGAACATGGAAATGGGAATATTGTCTGAGTATTCCATATGCCCAGAGGTATCGCTCCCTGGATCATCCTTTTGTTTGAAGATGGGTGAAACTACTAGTTTTGCCACTGTTGTGGGAAGCCTCCCCCAGCCTCCACAACCTTTCAAAGAGAAGAAGGCAGCCATACACGGACACTGGCCTGTGCGCTCACACGGGTTGAGTTCTCTGTAGCAATCCCTGCCTAAAATCATCCATTCCTGGTGATGCTCCTCCTGCCTCAGAACAGCAGCCTGAGAGATCCTGTTGGTGAACGCTGAGAGCACCTCAGCCTGGTCTGTGTATGTGTGTACATATTTAAATATATGCAGTATACATAATTGCATAAATAACACCTGGTGATAACGGTATTAAAATGAGTTTTGTTCAATGGAGGCAGTCTGATAGAGGTTCTTTCTCTAATGTAACAGTTATTTGTATTTCCTTGTCATCACCTCGTACTCTTTCTTCTAGGATCACCAAACCATTTTAAGAGCATGGGCAGTTAAAGACTTTGCTCCAAATTGTCCTTTGTATGTCCAGATACTGAAACCTGAGAATAAATTCCACATCAAGTTTGCAGGTAAGGCTCTGACTGCAGCTATTTGAAATGCTTGTTAGTATTTGGCAGTTTGTTTCATAAACACACAGGCGAAGTGAGACTCCCGGGCATATTCACTGGTTAGAAGCAGATTAAGAGTACAGTGTTGTAAAATACATGGACAGTATATATCCTAGCAAAATTAAACCACCATGTTGCACATTAAAGTCTTACTGATAAGCAGTTTTAAGGATTATTACTCTCTTACGTTACATAATATATAGAGTAGGATTATTTGATACATAACACAGTGTTACTCCTTAATTATAGATCCAGGTAGGTTTCCAGCTTGCTATATCCGTATCTTTAAATCATTTCTGTCTACTAAAATGTACTGTTACTAAGGGGTATATGAGAAGATCTGCTCAGAAAAGGCCACATTTTATCCAACAAACAACTGAAAAAAAAATATTGGACAAGCTGTTTCTCTGCACTGTGTAAACACATATATATACTCATATGCAAAACCACACAAATACTTCAATAATGAACTAATTTTGCTTATCTTTGTAAAAATATCTATGAAGTAGAAGCAGAGCTTTCCTTTTCACCTGTAATTTTGAAAATTCAATTTTCTTGAAGGATATTCTAAGGGAGAAAAGATTGCTGATTCATACAAAATTCAAAAAAAAGAAAACCTCTGTGGAAAGAATATTAGTCTCCTCCATCATCCCAGAATGTGATGAAAAAGTAAATTCCAGTGCACAATAATTCCAGAGCAAGAGTTAAAGCTGTAATTTTAAGAGCTACTGAATTTACCACTAGGTTGGAAAGAAGGAAAAAAGCATCAGTGGCAGTTCTGAAGTTCAAAAAGTGTAATCTCAAACTATGAGATGGCACAGTGGGGAATAAGGCTTATGCTGTGGCAAGAATGATGGTGCTTTTTCATCTCCCCCTTGAAACGACACCGCATATACATAATCAGCCATGGCATAAACAGAAAAGCCGTGGCTGCTTTTCTGTATCAGTAACTGTGTTAATTTGTTGTTCCTAATTGTATTTTTAAGAGACCATCATTTTTTTTTAATGGCTTGTCTCTGTAGAAGCTTATATATAACTTGACTTGCAAAACAGAGATCGTTTTTCATATCTGTTCTAAGTCTGCAATTGAGAATACGGACCTTTTTTTCTTTTTTAAGCAAACAACAAAAAACCAAAACCCCTTTTTGTAATATTTCCTTAAATTGAGCTTAAATGTTATGCAGTTCTTCAAGGGCTTGAGGAGACCTTATAATTCTGTGCCTCATTAGTGCCCTCTAATATTAATATAAGTCTAAATCTGTATTATAAAGTCAAAATATTTATAGAGCACCTTATATGCCAAAAGAATTTCACATGGATCATAAGCATCAATGCATCCATTTCCACACACTCTCTCAGCACTACAGTAAAAGCAGAGAATTACATGTCTTCCTTCAAGATTCATTTAATTTTACTCATCTGAAGCACAGGGATTTTTTTATTGCACTTTTAAGTTCAGCGAGGTTATGAGTACGGTATAAACATCACCACTGGATGCTTACCTACTGCAAATAGGCCACTGATAGAATCATGAGAACAAGATTTGTTTGTGTACATTTTCCGAAGAGGACTCTGCCTTGGTTATCAATCTCATCCAACTCTTCTTCATTCTGAAATACATGTACCCAGTGGGGGCTGCAGACTATAGCCCTGTCCAGAGTGTTTACGAATAAAATTGTCATAACTATATGGAATATTGTTCCAATAACTGCTTTATTACTGCCTTAATGCAAAAGCTTCTTTTAAATTTGATATTCTTTAAAAAATTACTCCTTTCTTCTGGATGTTTCCCAAAACAATATTGTGCATTTTTATGAACCTGAAATATTCAGTAATAGGATTTTTTTTTTCTTTACACACACGTTTAGAGACTATTACTGTCAAAAAGAAAGTCTCTGAATTTAGGAAAAAATACAACCAAATTATTCCAGAATGTCCTCATTACAAAAGTTTAACTTTTAACTACATTGAAAATTTATAAAATGCTAGAAGCCCAGTTTCTCAGCAGCTTATATTAGATTGACCAGTGACAATTATTAGGTGACATGAGACAGTCCTGAAATTTAGACCCTGTCTGCACTTTCCCATGGAATAGCATCCTGGAGATTTTCTGCCTTAGGCTTCAGGAACAGCATATAGGACAAGTAAATATTATAATTTATTCCCATCTGGTAGGACAAGACTTTTACATTCTTCCTTTCTTTAATGAGATTATCAGAACTTATTATTGTCATCACAGCACATTGGTTACATGGCTTTCTTAATCTTCCTGCTTTTCCTTCAAAGGTGTGGGGCTACAAAAGGCCATGCACCCTTACTGCATGCATCTGGCCTTGCGTTTCAGCACAAACGTGAAATAAAGTGCAGATTGTCCACAGCAGAGCAATATATTTATGCAAATAAGAGACTGGAATAAATTGCATCTTTTCTGAGTTGAACTTAGAGCTTTTATATATTTGCTAGAAAATAAATTAATTGCCTTTACCTTGAATCAAAATGGTTTGGGTTGGAAAGGACCTTAAAGATCATCGAGTTCCAGCCCCCCTGCCACGGGCAGGGACACCTCCCACCAGCCCAGGTTGCTCAAAGCCTCATCCAGCCTGGCCTTGAACCCCTCCAGGGATGGGGCATCCACAGCTTCTCTGGGCAACCTGGGCCACTGCCTCACCCCCCGCACAGGAAAACATTTCTTCCTAATAGCTCATCTAAATCTGCCCTTTTTCAGCTTATAACCCTTACCCCTCATCCTATTACTACACTCCCTGATAAAGAGTCACGCTTCTTTTGACGCCGCCGAGGATATGGAATATTCAGAAATTAGGTATAATCATGCTTCCAGGAGCTGGGGATACATTCTGACATTCACTATTTATTCAAAATGCACCAATGAGTGTGCACAGATTGGTGAAGTCTGATATGAAACCTTCAGCAGTTTATTTGAAAGGAAAATAGTTCAGGTACACTGAAATGGATGTTGAATGCATCTGATGATTAATCTGTCCAATTACAGTTAAAAATAGTCTAGAGATAATGGATGGGTATTTTTCTCTGTCTGGTCTGGTAGTGGTCCTGTTAACCTATGAAATGGATAAAAGCAATGGTTCTCAGAATAATTGTGTAAAGTCCAGGACATTCTCACCCCATGGCTGATGCTGCAAGCTTAAATCAGAATTTTGATGATGTTTTATCTTCCAGAACATTACAGGAGTCATAACTCACTGCACCGCATTACTACTGCTATCGGAGACAGACTTAGCAACAACTTTTCTGTCAAAATATATTTTCAACAGAAACGATAGCTTCTGGAAATCCTAAATGGAATCTTTCTTTAGTATAAATGCAATCAAAATATTTCTGTTTGGTAAGCTGATATGACATATTTAATAATCCAAGATGAAGTGCAGTTTCCTCTGCTGCTTCACTGCCACACTAAATGAGTAACTTGCTGATTCCAGCACTCGCTGAGTGATGTTCCAGACCTGAGGAGTGGGAGAGCTGTCACCCAGCTTCCTTCTTACTCACTTTAGAAAAGCAAGCATCAGATAAAGTTCTGTATAACCCTCACCACAGCTCCACAATAAGAGTCCTGAACATATATGTAATACAGTAACATTACAGGTAAGCTATAATCTGTCAAATAACTGGAGAAATGAGCAAGTTATTTTTGACGTGATCTATGTCTAGAACAAGAACTTAACTCAAGCCAAGAGGAGTAACCCATAATACCTCTCTTCATGTTTCACAATCTTTCTAATCGTGGCAATGGGATCACTGCAGAGTCTTTCACCTGCTGTTCTCAAAGTACCTCTGAGAATTCAAAAGCTTTCAGAACACTTTTGAAGTAGGTAGAGGATTCGTTTCATAGAGCTGTTTTACAGATGCATAAAAAGTCATGAAGGGCATCAACAGCTCACACAAGGTCAAAGTCTACAATAGGAGTGGAAATAGTCCTACGAGTCCCAGCTCCGTGTCCCCTGATGTACGTGACAGCACAATGTGAATCTTTTACACGTGTGAGGTTAAGATGACCATTGCAGGACAGCAAGCTCTGTGTGCTATATTCTCTGTTAACACAATATTTTACCATCCAAAAAGTCCACAGTATACGTTAGAGAGTACAGAACAGATAGGGGATTTAAGTGGGAGATATATTTTTCATTTGCATTGTGCCATCCATGATTTATTAATTTTCATTTTTTATATATTTAGGACTGCTTGTACGATTTGGTTCAAGTACAAGACCTTTCATCATCAACAGATATAATTTGATTGAAATTAATAAATTCAAATAATAATAAATTGAAATAATTTTCCTGTATGTTTTTTTCTTGATCCTATTTTCAAAAGTATTAGCTATGACAACACTCTTAACAAAAAATACTGGGGGGTTATTTGGCAAAATCCTATACAAATTCAAAAATATGGAGAATTCTCATTCCTTCAATATCAGGAAGTCACTATTAATTTTCATAAATCTTTGCCATCTGACTAATGGCAATGGAATGCAGATATTCCACCCAAGCAGTAGTCTGTGCCTTACTCTCTCAAAATCTCTAGTTTAATTCAAATAGATTTATTAATGCACATGGTCAACTAAAAGAACACATTTCTGTCTGAAATATTTTCTGCAGGAAATATTTAATTGCTATAAATAAAATAGATTTAGGGGAGGAAAAATCTCATTTTGTTCTATATTTGACAGTGTCTTTATATAACTAATTCATTACTTCCCTATGACATTTAAATAGGCCTTGATCTTTAGAAAATGAGAGAATGAATTTCTTCTTTCAGTGGTCAATGATTCTGTTACTGAAAAGACTCTAGAAATTTTTAAAAAAGGAATAGAGAAGGCGTACAAAGTATGCCCTCAGTTTTGTTTTCAAAGTGGCATGCTTATAGCTATAGTACAGATTCTCTCTAGAAAGTGGCTTAGTTAGAGAGGTAAGGTGGTGTGGTTCTAAGTCTGCAGTGATACATCAGTGCAACTAGAAGCTGAGGTATGTAGAGAGCTCAGATCTGGGTGGGGGGTTTATTTGCTTACTTTTACTCACAGTTTCCATATGGCATGTTTTTCTCATCAGCTGTACTACTTGTATTATTCTTTCTCATCAGAAGCAAATTCTGCTCCCATTAAAAGTAATGTAGACTGAATCAAACACTAAATTCCAAAGAAAAAAAATTACTTAGTAGGCAATAAATGCCTTCATGACCTTAGAAAACCTCTATGACTAAGGCTCTACACTGACAAGTTTAATTACAGTTGTAAGCTTTGTGCTTATCCCTCCGTGTATGTATTTTAATACTGTCACAGGCATACATGAATGACATTAGAGTAATTTCTATTTCCTTTTCATGCCATCACCAGCACTGGAGAGCATTTAACTGTGCTCTGAATTTTTAGCACTAGCCATCCAAGTTGACTAATAATTCATACAATACTGAAAGCATGTGCAGAAGATTGGGCAGTTTTAAGTATAAGCCAATACAGAGGACTAGATGCGATGCCTCTGTTGCTTTCTCTTCTCACTTCCCTCCCCTAAATTCCATTAAAAGACAGAAAAAAATAAGTATGTTTGTAGTACTGTTCCATCACAGCAAGTACTAATGTGCAGACGTACTATCTTGTAAGGAGTCTCAAAAACAAAGCATAATTTTGTGATTACAAAAGCCAGACAAGGACCAGGGTAAAAAGAAATGAGTTGTAAAAAACTGGAAAAGAAGAAACCACCACCCACCTTGCCTCGATTGCAAGGAAGCAGCAGCTGTTGGCAGTTCCTGGGGGAGATATTAGTCAAATCCACATCAAACACTGAAGTGCAGTGCAAAAATCCCAGAGCCACTGCCAGATAGCCGGTCTGCAAGCACGGACAGCCTGTCTAATCGATCAGCACCCCTGCAGTATCCTGGGTGTGCTGTTTGCTGAATACAAAATGACATCTCTCTGCAGTGCTCGATGTCTCTCTATCAGTTTATGCAAAACTGCAGAAGGTGCAGAAGATCCAAACTAGACTATGCTGTGTGGCGTACTCGTACAACCAGTGCAGCAAGATAGTGGAAGGGGGATTCACAGAACCATTGTGTCCTCTCCACGTATAGCTGCAGGACAAAGTACTGGATGCAAAATTAACTCTGCTCGTGCAATCTGGGATGGGGCAAATTATATACAGCTGCTCTCCAGGTTTGAGTGGAACATGAAGATCTGGAGGCAAATGTTGATTGTTCCTATCTTCACCATTTTCCTAGACAAGGAAAAGAAGAATTCTGTTTAAGGGAATGTATTTTTGTCAAACTTATATCTTCTTTTTTTTTTTTTCTACAGATCATGTTGTGTGTGAAGAGGAATTCAAATATGCTATGCTAGCTCTAAATTGTATATGCCCAGCTACCTCTACATTAATCACACTGCTGGTTCATACATCTCGAGGACAGTAAGTATATACTACTGTAAAAAAATCCCCAAAAAACGAAAACAAAACCCTCAAAATTTGTAAAAGTTACAGCAGCTATTCTTTGGAAAATAGCTTACCCTGAACTCCTAGACAACTACAGTTTTTAAAAAGAACTTAGAACTTTCTGCACAATAAAAGTGCCGAGATATTTTACTCAAGATATTACAATTTCAGAGAATGAACTTTCTGCACAATAAAAGTGCTGAGATGTTTTACTCAAGATATTACAATTTCAGAGAAACACCCCCCCTGATATTTAGCAATTTGTTACATGCTGTTGTGCCACTTCCACAACAGAAGAGATGAAAAATTTGTATTCCCCTGATATTTAACAATTTGTTACATGCTGTTGTGCCACTTCGACAACAGAAGAGATGAAAAATTTGTATTCCGAATTTAGTAGATTGAATCGTGATCTATCACACAGTTCTACTTAAGAACACCAAGACCCAGGAATACCTATTTTAATATTTGAAGGTCTGTTTTTGTACACATATAAAAGTTCCACTGAGCTCAAAAAATGTTTTTCTGACAAATATTATTTGCTCTTCAATGCCTGTACATGAAGAAACAAGCAAACATACATAATAACCACACTGATGGAAGGAGTACAGAGTTATGGTGTCTCTCCAGACTGCATAGTCACAGGAGAACCTCTCTGTATTTACCAAAATCATTTCACTGTATCCAGTGTTTCTCTGTTATGCTATATTCTTGGAATAATAAGGTGTTCTTATTAAAATATTGTGGGCAGAGAGA